TGACCTCGTGATCCACCCACCTTGGCCTCCCAAAGTGCTGGGATTACAGGCTTGCCACCGTGCCCAGCCTAAAAAAAATACAATTCTTTTATGTAGCCACAGCACAGTGATAAAAATCAGGAAGTTAACATTTATTTATTTATTTATTTAGACGGAGTTCGAATGTCACCCAGGCTGGAGTGCAGTGGTTCGATCTCAGCTCACTGTAACCTGTCTCCCAGGTTCAATGATTCTCCTGCCTCAGCCTCCCGAGTAGCTGGAATTATAGGCGTGCACCACCATGCCTGGCTAATTTTTTTGTATTTTTATTAGAGATGGGGTTTTGCAGTGTTGGCCAGGCTGGTCTCGAACTTTTGACCTCAGGTGATACACCTACCTTGGCCTCCCAAAGTGGTGTGAGCTACCTCGCCTGGGCCAAAATCAGGAAGTTAACATTTATAACAATACCATTATCTAATCTGCACACCTTATTCATATTTCACCAATTGTCTCCATATGTCCTTCATACTGAAAGAAACTCCCAGATCCCGTGTTGTATTCAGTTGTTACATCTCTCCTCTCCTTTAATCTGGAAGTATTCAGCAGTGTTCTCTTTGTGCTTCAGAGTACATACCGTTTAGACTTGATTTTTAAAAAATAGTACATATGAAACATTTTTCCATATTGAGAGATACTGAAAGCAGTGTATCCCAGTGACTGAGTCAGGGTTCTGAAGCCGAACTACTTGGTTTCAAATCCTGATTTTATTGCTTAATGCCTATGTTATCCTGGACAAGTTTTTTTAACCTGTGAAATGAGGGGGTACTGATACTACCTCATAGGATTGTGAAAATTAAATAAATGCAAATGTGCTCATCACTGAGTTCAGTACCTGGCACAGACTAAGTGCTCAGTAAACGCTAGCTATTATTCACACCATTCAGTGGATTCTTAAGGGACATTTTGCAAACATTTTAGTTCTGTTCTGTCTTCTTCTCCCCTCCCACCCTTCTTTTCTTCACATCTGGTTTCCAGAAAGCATACGGTCAGCTTACTATACTATGTAATGGTTTGAGATGGAAAACACTGCTGTTAAAAAGAGTGGTTCCCATTTGCTTTGGTAACAGAGTTTTCACTGGTGCAAAAATCATAATAGTGAAGTTTTTCATAAGCGCTAAATGTATTCAGTTTTGTTATGAAATTACATGGTTCTCTCTCATCTCTTGGTGTTAAATTATCATTTTATCAAATGATATTTTTTATTGATTATTGTTCTGTCATTATTGTATTTTAATATTTTTAGTAGGCAATAAAAAGAAAACAAATCTAATACTCTCCAAAATGTTTTTGGAGATATTAATGGTTAATGGCAGCCAGTGGTCTGGGAATTCATGCTTTAAAAGATCTGTGTTTTCCAGCTGGGCGTGCTGGCTCATCCCTGTAATTCCAGCACTTTGGGAGGCCGAGGTGGGTGGATCACCTGAGGTCAGGAGTTCGAAACCACTCTGACCAACAAGGTGAAACCTCATCTCTATTAAAAAAAAAAAATTTAAAAAAAAAAAGATCTGTGTTTGACTTTGTGCTTATATATATATACATGAGTCGCTGTGAATGATACTTGTATCTAGAAATACATTAGTCACTGATTGAATGTTTATTGACCGCCTCCTGAATGCCAGACATTGTATTAAATGCTTTGCATATCTCATTTCATCTTCATAATGAACCCTGTGAGCTTTGTATTTTTCTCCCTGTTTACAGTGAAGAAATGGAATCTCAAAGAGGTGATGTAATCCACCCAAGGTTACACAGCTCTGAGTGACATAACTGCAGTTAGAACTCAGGTCTCCTTGGCTGGGCGCGGTGGCTCATGCCTGTAATCCCAGCACTTTGGGATTACTGTGCTGAGGTTGGGAGTTCGAGACCAACCTGGCCAACATGGAGAAACCTTGTCTCTACTAAAAATATAAAATTAGCTGGTCATGGTGGGACATGCCTGTAATTCCAGCTGCTTGGGAGGCTGAGGCAGGAGAATTGCTTGAACTCGGGAGGTGGAAGTTGTGGTGAGCCGAGATTGTGCCACTGTACTCCTGGCAACAAGAGCAAGACTCTGTCTCCAAAAAAAAGAGAACTCAGGTGTCCCTAATTACAGAGGCCATTTGAAATTTTAGCTTACAATCCATAAATCCACAAGCTAATGGGTTTCTTTTCCATGAAGATATGCTGAAGGTACAGTTATCCTGTAGAGGTCTTCAAAAAACACTTTTTAAGAAGTAGCCTTGTGGTACAAAAAGTTGGAAACAGGCCGGGCACTGTGGCTCACACCAGCACTTTGGGAGGCCAAGGCAGGTGTATCAGGAAGTCCAGAGATCAACACCGGCCTGGCTAACATGGTGAAATTCCTTCTCTACCAAAAATACAAAAATTAGCTGGGCGTGGTGGCAGGTGCCTGTAATCCCAGCTACTTTGGAGGCTGAAATAGGAGAATCACTTGAACCCAGGAGGCAGAGGTTGCAGTGAGCTGAGATCGTGCTACTGCGCTCCAGCCTGGGTGACAGAACAAGACTCTGTCTCAAAAAAATAGGTGAGAGTTTCTCATTTCTGGTGACTCTTAAATTAGGAATGAAACTACCACCTTGCCTGAACCAGTGTGATTCTTTAGCCTTTGGTTCTAACTTACAGGCTGCTTTCTAGGAGAAAAACAAAATTGCTGCTGTGTGAAATTAGTGGTTATCTAAGAAATACTTCAAGAACCCTTGACTAAGAGAGAAAATAAGATGGCATTTAATGACTTACAGTAATGTGAGGTTAAAAGTTGAAGGCCAACTTGTGTTGCTGAAGTAGACAGATTCTGTCTAGCTGGAAAGCTGTAGGACTCCCTGTCTGGTGCAGTGTTTCTTCAGTTTGGCTGCATATCACAGTCTTCTGTGGTGCTTTTTAAAAATACATAATTTTGGCTGGGCCTCTGTAATCCCAGCACTTTGGGAGGCAAGGTGGGTCATGAGTTTGAGACCAGCCTTACCAACATGGTGAAACCCCATCTTCACTAAAAATACAAAAATTATCTGGCGTGATGGCGCATGCCTGTAATTCCAGCTACTCAGGAGGCTGAGGCAGGAGAATTGCTTGAACCCGGGAGGCGGGGTTGCAGTGAGCTGAGATTGCGCCACTGCACTCCAGCCTGGTTAACAGAGAGAGACTCTGTCTCAAACAAACAAACAAACAAACAAACAAACATAATCCTGCACCCCACTCTAGCCCTACTGAATGAGGCTCTGACTGAGGGACCCATGTATATGTGTAGTTAACAAGCTCCTTCAGGTGATCCCAAGGCCCAGGTTGCCTCTGGCTATTACCTGGAATTGAGTCCATACCAGCCTTGGGAAGAGTATGCACCCTTAGGCTAAGGATTGCTGTCTCTTTATTATTTGTTTGTTTATTTTCTAAGCAAGCTAACACAGGAGGTTGCAACTTAAACTTCTAATCCGGAAGTTACTCGAGGTGATGAGTAAAGCAAGTCTTGGGTTCATCAGAGCTCCACAGGGCATTTTCAGTCCCTTTTCCTGAATTGTCACTGAAATTAGGAGCGTTCTCTCAGATGCCAGTTTCTGTAAACTTCTTGATAACGTGCTCATTGTTTCCTTGTTCTGAATGGTAGTTGTTGAAGAGTAACTTTATGCCAATTTAATCATACACTGATTGATGTCATGTGTTTCTGTGTTCTGTATGCATTCTGCCAGTGGTGTAAGAGGAAGACAGCAGGGGAGCTCCACTGCATTCTTGGACTCCTGGCTGTGGCCCATGGGACCCAGTGCTGTGGCTGCTGCCTTACCTCACTGCAGCTCTTCTCATGAGCTGTGATTCTGACTCATCTGGCTTCTGGTTGCTTGAGTATACCTCCCTCATGCTTCTTGTACCCTCAAATTTGGTGGACTCCCTCTTAACTACTTGAGTCTCAGCTCAGGTGTTGCCTCCTCAGGGAGAGGTTCCCTCACCAGTCTCTTGCATTACCTATTTTATTTTTATCATAGCATTTATAACTGTCTGAAATAATTTTATTTACTTGTTCGTTGTGTCTTCCACTGTAATCTTAATTCCATGAGAGCAGATACCTGTCTGTCTTGTTTCTCATTGGACCCTAAGCATCTGGAACAGTACCTGGCTTGTAGTAGGTATTCACCGTGAAAGCTTTGAGGTCTGTACCCTCGCCTACCTGTCCTACAGGACAGAACTGAGCTGAGCTTGTGTAGGTACGTACCTCTTGTTGCTAATGGCTTAGAACTGCGGCTGTTTCCTGGAGCAGAGCTTGATACCCTTATGCCTGATGATTCTTCTAAATCTGTCATTCTACAATGCCCCCAGGGAGCTTCTTCCTTGCCCATGTGTTGTAGGTTAGAATGACAATAGTTATTTGGGAATATATGACCATAAGACTCAGTTCAAGGGTTAATGATCCCTCTGGATTAGAATTAGTTTCATAGTCTCTCAAGTTGCAGGATTTTGGTCTTCTGGGCATGAGCTGTATCCTGGGATCTTGGATAGTAAAGGACATTTTGAATTTGGAAGAATTTAGCCTTGTCTCTTCTTTCCCCTTGCTATAGAAATATATTAGGCTAGGTGCAGACAAACTTGAGACTGACTCCCAGAGACATAAATGGGGCATGTCTGGACAGCGTACTGCTATGTGTTTTATAAAGTGCCTTCAGAAAGCTTCAGGATGCTCCATGGGTTAGAGTGGTCTTCCAAGGGGACCCCTTTTAGAATCTGATGTAGTAACAGACCCTTTCCTCAGAAAAACATACAAGCTTCTTCTGTGCATATAGTTTTGCCTCTCATCTTGAGGGGTGCAAAGACTTCACGGATGCCCTTCAGTGACCCTAAAATTCTGTTTGGGGATTTAAGTTGGTTTGTTCATCCAACAAAGCTGGGTCATAGCTCTTCTGTGGCTGTGTCTCTCTGACTTGGTCTCCTGTCTTCTGTGCCCTGTCTTGTTTTTATCATAACCTGCTGGACTCTCTCAGGCCCAGAAGAGGCGATATTCTCCAGGAGTCCAGGTACTCAGTTCTTGCCCCATCATGAGCATCCCTCATTCCTTGTGTCTATCCAACATTTGTTGCCGTTTCAAGTCCATGTGGTTGTTGTGTCAGGAGTCCCCAGTCTCTGGTCTCGACCGCATCTCCACCTTGCATGTTGACTGTGTGGGACAAAGGGACAGAAACTCCCCAAAGGAGTGGCATGCCTCATGTTTCCCCTTCCTTTCACCACCCTGCCTCTCTGCACTACCTTGGCATTGGGCTTGTTCTGGAATGATTAGTTCACCATTTCTAAGGAAGAATTGCTCCTACAACTCTATTGGGGAGAGAGGGCCTCTGAAACTGATGGGAAAATGAGTGGTTTATGGAGAAACCTGCAGTTTTCTCCCTGTAAGGGGAGAACTTTGCCCTCTTACTATTATTGGGAGAAGTTATAAGTTGAGGAGGCTTAAGTGGACTGGAAAGTCTTTTGACTAAGGACAATCATTGTGGCTGGCTGAGCCCATCCAGCAACCCCATTCTGTGTTCTTTCTGAGTTCTAATCAATTTAGCCTCATATGCTTCTAGAATTTTAGAATTGAAAAGAGCTATCCTGAATGGAAAGATTCCCCTGCTCAAACAGGTATTTTCAGAATACCCACTGTATGCAGAACTGTGATTGGGAGGAGATGGGGCTGAAGTGCAGACATATGAAGACGTGTAATGAATGAATTTTTTCTTCAAGAAGCTCATGTGGCAGTTGGGGAGATAGGTACATATAATATTACGCAGTTTATAGATGCCAAATAGTGACCTTGGGGAGCATTCAAGTCAGACTCCAGTGTCTTAGGGGTGCCATTTCAGGCCCACCCCAGTTCAAGAGCCAAGAGAATTACTGAAGGCAAATACCAAGTGTAGTTGCTTCCTGGGCCCATTTCCCTTGGGGGGGCCATCTGAATGTGGGCTCTCAGGGGCTGCTGCTGATGAGGCCAAGTGGCCACCTGGTCTCCTGTAAGGGGCTCAACTTGTATGTGCAGAATTCCTGTTGCTGTTTGTACAGGTGTTCCTAGGTGCTCTTCCTTAGCATCTGCTTTCCCCCCTGCTTCCCAGCGAGTATTCCCCTACATCTCAGCCATGGTGAACAACGGCTCCCTCAGCTATGATCATGAGCGGGATGGGCGGCCTACAGAGCTGGGAGGCTGCACGGCCATTGTCCGCAATCTTCATTATGACACCTTCCTTGTGATTCGCTATGTCAAGAGGCATTTGACGGTGAGTCCTTGTCCCAGACCAGATGGTGGTGTGGGCTGTGTCGCTCTTGCTCCCATGGCCTGACCCTGATTTATCTCTCCTTTTATTCTAGATAATGATGGATATTGATGGCAAGCATGAGTGGAGGGACTGTATTGAAGTGCCCGGAGTCCGCCTGCCCCGCGGCTACTACTTTGGCACTTCCTCTATCACTGGGGATCTCTCAGGTACTGCCACCACACACACTCTATTTGCCCTGACTGTGGCCTCTTCTCAATACCCAGGGCTCGGTGAGGCTTCTCACAGGGAAGAACCAGAGGAACAGTGCTCTGGAAGCAGGTGCCCCAAGATTGCTTCTCTTTCTGCATTCTTATATCCACATTCCTTAAAAACCCAGGCCCAGGCTTTCTTAGTATAGTTGTTACTAGAGGATGGTTGGTGCTAATAGAAAGCAGCATTTGCCCCTTCATTAAGCTGGCTCTTCTAGCCTGTATCGTGAGTTCCTTGCTTTCTAATGTCTGCTGTTAGGCTCCTCTCTGTCCACCCACTAATGTTCCTCTTTCCCCTTCCTTAGCAAAGCTTCTCCTTGACTCTGCCATCCCTATTCTGACCCCAGACTCTCATTTTGCTGAAACTTTTGAATGTGTTGTATGTACAGATGTTTTTGTTTCCTAGCTGTCCACCTCCTTAGCATGCTGCCCTCAGACCTGTGCTCTACCTTGCTGTTATATTACTGTTCTCATGAAAGGTCATTCTGTTTCCTTGCCATGTTCTGTGCTCTATTCTCATTCTCAATCTTTGTCCTCCTTAGCTTAATTAACCCATTTCTCTGAAACTCTTGCCTTCTTGTGTGACATTAACAGCACTTGGTTCTTATCCTTTTCTGTGTCCTCTGGTTTCTTTTTCTACTTGTGCCTGATTCTTACCTTCTTGTTTATACACTTACTGTCTTTCTTTGCTTTAGCCCCAATCGTAACGTCTTTTGGGAAGAGAAAGAGAACTGAACTTTTTTTGTTTTTTTTAGAGATGGGGTTTCTCTCTGTTGGCCAGGCTAGTCTCAAACTCCTGACCTCAGGTGATCCACCCACCTCGGCCTCCCAAAGTGCTGGGATTACAGGTGTGAGCCACTGCTCCTGGCCAAGAACTGAACTTTTGTTTCTTTTGATTAATTTGTTCTGGATAAAGCTAGTTTGGAATAGAACTTTATTGTGGCAAAATGGAAGGCAGATACCCATCTGAAACAGCTGACAGCTAGTGAGCTTCAGCCATTGTAGCTAAAAGGAAATGTCAGCTCAGAGGCCAAATCTTCCAGTTTTTCAAGAGAAGCTAGAAACCTAGATTTTTTTAAATGCAATCTGTTGACCTTTAAAACTCTGGTATCTGATTTTTAAAAATCAATTTTATTGAGGTATGCTTTCCATACAGCAGAAGAATACAGTTTGAAAGAAGACTTTTGACAAATATTTACACCTATGTAGTCTCCATCACAATTAAGATGGAGAATGTTTCCATCACCTGCCAAAAGCCCTGTTATCCCCCTTTGCAATATTCCTCCCCTCTTCAGATTCCCGGCAACCATTGATCTGCTTTCTGTCATGTAGGGAGATTAGTTTCGGCAATTGGGTTCTAAGTACTGAGCAGGCCACACCTGTGGGACAAATCTGGCCTCGGCAGGGGGATAGGAGGCACAGGCTGGAGATCTTTGCTATGTAATCATTATATGACTACATGTTTTCCTTTGAGCTTACAGGTTTCTGGGTTAACCTTCTGAAGTACTTTTTTTTTTTGAGATGGAGTTTTGCTGTTGTTACCCAGACTGGAGTGCAATGGCACAATCTTGGCTCACCGCAACCTCCGCCGTCTGGGTTCAATCAATTCTCCTGCCTCAGCCTCCCGAGTAGCTGGGACTACAGATGCGCACCACCGTGCCCAGCTAATTTTTTGTATTTTTAGTAGAGATGGGGTTTCACCTTGTTGACCAGGATGGTCTCGATCTCTTGACCTCGTGATCCACCGGCCTCGGCCTCCCAAAGTGCTGGGATTATAGGCATGGGCCACTGTGCCCGGCCTCTGAAGTTCTTCTTAATTGAAAGTTCCCAACTGTCAGAAATGGCAGGAGATAATAATTTTTTGTATATTCTAAGTTTTTTGCCTTAGGTCTTCAGTGAGAATACCCAGGTTAGTAAGTCTGTGTTCTCTGCCCATAGGATATCCCAAATGCAAATTGTTTCTTTCCTTTGAGGTCTTTCTTGTTGCCATCCTCTCACTTGTTGTGCAGTGGGTTGTTGAAAACTGCCAAGAAAGTTAAGATGTTTCCCAACTGTCCCAGGCTTTAATGCCCTGCATTGCATGAGGAGCATTGCCCTGGCCTTTTATCCTGTTCCATGGTGTTTTGTTTTGTTTTGTTTTGTTGAGACAGTCTCACTCTGTCACCCAGGCTGGAGTACAGTGGTGTGATCTCGGCTCTCTGCAACCCCCACCTCCTGGGTTCAAGCGATTCTCCTGCCTCAGCCTCCCAAGTAGTTGGGACTACGGGTGCCCACCACCATGCCCGGCTAATTTTTTTGTATTTTTAGTAGAGATGGGGCTTTATTGTGTTAGCCAGGATGGTCCTGACCTTGTGATTCACCCTCCTTGGCCTCCCAAAGTGCTGGGATTGCAGGTGTGAGCCACAGCGTCCAGCCTATCCTGTCTCATGGTTTAAACTGAGCTCTGAAAGTTAACATTTTTCCAAGCGATGAATCCAGGTTTTTACTGCCTGAGAATCTGCTAAAGAGTCTAGCAATCCAAGCAGCTGTGGAGGCTTCCCTAATATAAATGACCAGAAGTCCAGGCCGCAGTCAATAACCAACCTAGTAGCAATGAGCACCCCTAGCACTCAGATTTGTGGTCTGTTAATGCCAATTCCAACTAAAAGGAACTACAGCTTCCTTAAAAATGGCTGATACAAAGTCTGAGGTAGGAAATCTGTGAGTTGGAACTTCCCAGAAAAGCAAAGGAAGTTACCGGCACAGTGGCTCACACCTGTAATTCCCCCACTTTGGGAAGCCAAGGCAGGAGGATCACCTGAGGTCAGGAGTTTGAGTCCAGCCTGACCAACATGAAGAAATCCCGTCTTTACTAAAAATACAAAGTTAGCCCAGTGTGGTGGTGCATGGCTGTAATCCCACCTATTCGGGAGGCTGAGATGGGAGAATTGCTTGAACCTGGGAGGCAGAGGTTGCTGTGAACTGAGATTGTACCATTGCATTCCAGTCTGGGCAACAAGAGGGAAACTCCATCTCAAAAAACCAAAAAAACAGAAAAACAAAAAACCTTCTGAGTTTATGTAAAGGGACTCAGGAGCGAAACTGAATAGGTTCCTACTGGACAAAGACAGGTGAGTTGAGCATCAATAAGATTCTAACCTCAGTGCATTGCAACACATCAGATATGCTTAAATGTATGAGTTTATAATGATACTTCAAAGAGAGAAATCTAGTCCCTAATTGCTTGATCTCTCTAGTAATTATTAGGGAGATTAAGAGTCACAATTACAAGGAGCCACAGAGAAATAGGCATAGCCCAGAAGGGCAGTGTATTCCATGCCCATAGCTGTGCCCTGCCCATAGCCCATTAAACAGCTGCTATGAGACCCTTTCCTGTTGTGCATGTGTGTGTGGTCTTCACCAGTGGGAAAGCTGCAGTCCTACTGTATCTCTTCTTACTGTGCTAGAAGGTTTAACATATAGGATTTAGTTCTTGTTTTATCTCTAAATTTTTTAATTATATAGAGGCTTCTTGACATACAATGGCATTAAGTCCCAATAAACTCATTTTAAGTCGTAGATATTGTAAGTTGGAAAATGCATTAAATACACCTATTCTACTGAACATCATAGCTTAGTCTACCTTAAATGTGTTTATGACATTTACATCAGCCTACAGTTGGGCAAAATAATCTAACACAAAGCCTATTTTATAGCGAAATGTTGAATGTCTGATGTAATATATCGAATACAGTACATGATGTTGTACCGGTTGTGTACCCTTGTGATTGTGTGGCTCACTGGGAGCTACAGCTTACAGCTGCTGCCCAGCCTCAGTACGGAGTGTTGTACTACACATTGCTAGCCCAGGAAAAGATCAAAACTCAAAATTCAAAGTATGGTTTCTGCTGAGTGCAGATTACTTTCACACCATCATAAAGTTGGAAAATTGTAAGTCAAACCATTTTAAGTCAGGGATCTTCTATACAGGTAATGCATGCTTGTTCATAAAAAAATACAGAAGAATATAGAATATGCCTTCTTCCCCATCCTTATTTTTAGTTGAGAAATGGAGAGGTTTCCATTTGTTTTTCAGGGTCACTGCTGGTTAGCTGTGGATCAGAGGCTTGAACTAAGATACTGACTTCAAGAAACATACCTCCTTTTCAAGTGTCTTGAGTCATCCTTGTCCCATTTTTCTTTAGATAATCATGATGTCATTTCCCTGAAGTTGTTTGAGCTGACAGTGGAGAGAACCCCAGAAGAGGAGAAGCTCCATCGAGATGTGTTCTTGCCCTCAGTGGACAATATGAAACTGCCTGAGAGTGAGCCCAGGGGCCCCTGGGAAGTGGTCCCATAGCTGGGGAGGAGCTTGCAGTGCTGCATGGCTTCTGAGGGGCCTTGCATCCACAGCTCACAGGGCGGTCTCTGTTCTGTGTACTTCCTCTGAAGAGTAGGGAGCGCTTGCACCTGCCTTTCCCCTTGTCTTCAAGTTACAGATGAGCAGCAGGAAGGCTGCTTTGTTTCTAAGTTGGAAAGAGGGGGTCTAAGCTCTGACTTCCCAGAAATAGGTGTGAGAAACTGGGGATTAGATAGCCTGTAGTTTGATCCTTCCCTACTGGGTAGACTCCCTGTTTTCTGACTTGCTTCTCTCTTGCTTCCTCAGTGACAGCTCCACTGCCACCCCTGAGTGGCCTGGCTCTCTTCCTCATCGTCTTTTTCTCTCTGGTATTTTCTGTATTTGCCATAGTCATTGGTATCATACTCTACAACAAATGGCAGGAACAGAGCCGAAAGCGCTTCTACTGAGCCCTCCTGCTGCCACCACTTCTGTGACTGTCACCCATGAGGTATGGAAGGAGCAGGCACTGGCCTGAGCACACAGCTGGAGGGTGTTCTCATCTCTAGCAGCTGGTCGGGGACTATATTCTGTCACTGGAGTTTTGAATGCAGGGACCCCACATTCCCATGGTCATGCATGGGGACATCTAACTCTGGTGTGGGAAGCCACCCACTCCAGGGCAATGCTCTGTGATGTGCCTTTCCCTGCAGTACTTCCATGAGGGAACAAAGAGGCGTGGAGATAATTTATACCGTTGTGATGCCAAAATCACAGAACAGAATTGCATAGCCCAGGCTGCCTAGTTGTTTGGCTCGGAGGGCCCTTCTACTTCATTTTTGAATCCACAAAGAATTGAAAACTGGTAACACCACATACCTTCTGGCCATCATTCACTGGGTTTTGCATTTTACCCAAGCCTCTGCCTACCTGAGGAGCTTTCTTTGGAAACCAGGATGGAAACTTCTTCCCTGCCTGGCCCTTCTTTCTCACTCCATTCATTGTCCTCTCTATGTGCAACCTGAGCTGGGAAAGACATTTGGATGCCTCTCTGTTGAGGCCTGGGGTTGCAGAGTGCACGTAGGTTTCATTGGCCTTCATTAGGTGGCCCTAGGGAGAGGTCTTTCTGCTTTGGATCACTGTTCCAGCTTCTGTTCTCTAGCATGAGTCTTGGGTCTATTGGTGTATCCATGGCCTTCCCAATCAAGTCTCTTCAGGTCCTCAGTCAAGTTTGGCTAAAAGTTGGTATAAAAATCAAGAGAAGCCTGGAAGACATCATGGATGCCATGGATTAACTGTGAAACTGACCAGCTCCAGGTTTGATATCAAAAGCAACATCTGTCATGTGGAGATGTTTCTGGACTTGCTAGAGCCTGCTTAGCTGCATGGTTTATAGTTACGATTTTTGGAATCCCACTTTGAGTATTGAAAGTATAAGAAAGCTTTCTTCTTATATCCTGGGCTTGGATACTGTCCAAAGAAGAAATCTGGCTTTTTTTTTTTTCTTAATGGACAAGAAATAGTTGCTGTTTTCATGTTCCAAGTCTGGGAGCAACAAACCCTCGTCATCTGTGCCTGGAAGAGTTCATTGTCATTGAGCAGCACAGCTTGAGTGCTGTCTTCTGTGTGTCAACCCTTATTCCACTGCCTTATCTGACAAGGGGTTACATGCTGCTCACCTTTCTGCCCAGGGATTAAATTGGTTACAGGACAGAGTCTCCTTGGAGTAGCTGGAACTCTCAGTCCTCCTATGGACCTCTGTAGCCTAAATGAAATTCTCAAAATCGCTGATGGAACCAAACATGAGCTTCTGATTCAGTGTCCTTTCTTCTAGGAGTGGGTTTGGGGAAAGTTCAAGCCTTTTTTCTGAGCTTGAAGCCTATCAACCATTGCTCTGCCTTCTTCTGGATTGGAAAAGCCCTCAGCTCAGCTCAGCTCAGAAGAAAAGAGGATCACCTTGGCTAGGCATAGGTCTCTGTCTCTTCAGGCTTTCTTTTCTTCCCTTGCAGTTAGTTAAACAGCACAGGCTGTAGTGCTCTCCTGCAGGTGGGATTCAGGTGGGGCAGAAACAAAGCATCCTCCTACCACCTCCCTACCATAGTAGAATGGCTCCAGGGTGCCAGAGGACAAACTGACCTAGAACTTGGCCTTGGGAGCAGGGAGAACTGAAAAAGAAAATGGTGATTTTTGTCTTTTTTGAGTTCAAGGAGAGATTATATGAACCTGTAGGAAGGACCTAGGCAGGCTCTTGAGATGGCCAAGGCAGCATGCAGGTAGAAGGGATCTCATCAGAGGGGAAAGGCAGAGTGAGAGAGATGGAACCTGTGGGATTTGTATGATTCCAGCTCATGAGTACCTGAGACTTTTTAAAGAGGGCAGGGAAGACATGAAGTGCAGTCCCCATCTGCCTTGGGGTCCTTTAGAGAAATGTTTAGTACAAGAAAACCACCTGACCTGGTATAGGATGTCATGCTTCAGCTCTTTTTGTTCTAGAAACAAGTGTTTCCCATCATGAATGGGCGGAATGTTGTCCTGAACAATGTCATCCCAGGTGTGTGCTAGAGGAGGGCGACACCTGGTCTATGGTAGGGCTGTTCTGTGCATGCATGCTAGGGGTGAGAGTTGGTGCCGCAGATTGCTGCTCACCCATAAGGGTGACTTCTCACAGTCACCCTTTCCCTCCGTTGCCCTTTGATTCAGAGCCTCTTAGCATCAAGAGACCTTGTGGACTAGAGCTGGTACATAAAGATGACATCACTCCTGACCCTGTGAGTCTTGTCTGAAGGGCTGGCATTTTCAGCCTTTCATGTTGTCTTCAATGCCCCAAATTACAAGGTGGCTCTCTGTTATAAAACTTGTTTATTTCAGTGGAAAATTACAGCTCTGCTCTTCTTGTTGGAAGTGATTTCTGAACACAATAACCAGAATATTCCTAACACCTTGCATATATCCTAGAAGATAGAAACAAAGAACTGGTAGGCAGCCTAAGGGCAGAGCTGTTGGTAGCAGGAGGAAAGCCAGGCAGCATGGGCAAATTAGTCCTGTGGGGCTGGAAGTTCTGGGAAAATGTCACTCAGGTGATTCCTGGGTCCTGGGTGGAGTTTCCATTCATGGTCTATTGTAGGCTTTAGGTTTGGATCCTGGGTGGGAAGGATGGAAGAGCTGGCATTGTTTACTGAAGTGATGATATTGAATATTTTAATGGGAGGAGACAGCTGAAGGTGAGGTTTGATCAAGTTCATGGCCAAATAGTGCTAGAGAGAATGGACAACAGTTAGCCTGGGGAGGCAATGTGAAGACTGTCTCCCCAGAGTCATCCCGAGACCACCTGTGTCCTTGCCCCCATGGCTGTACTCACCGGAGCCGAATAGATAAAGTTGAACAGCATAAGTGCTATAATCAATATGACCATAAAGGCTAAGAATTTGAAGCGATACCGTTTCCAGAAAATATAGCAGAAATATTGAACCGGTGATCGCAGCCACATGAAAGAGGTGTTGGTGCGTCTGTCCAGGAGCAAGGAAGATGTCAGAATGGCAGAGGGAACCTTCAGGTCAAGCAATCTGATGCAAGAAGCTTTCTTTTTTAAAAAAGCATCTTCTAGGCCGGGTGCAGTGGCTCACACTTGTAATCCCAGCACTTTGGGAGGCCGAGGTAGGTGGATCACCTGAAGTCAGGAGTTTGAGACCAGCCTGGCCAACACGGTGAAATCCTGCCTCTACTAAAAATACAAAAATTAGCTGGGCATGGTGGCGGGCGCCTGTAGTCCCAGCTACTCAGGAGGCTGCAGCAGGAGAATTGCTTGAACCCAGGAGGCGGAGCTTGCAGTGAGTCGAGATTGCACGACTGCACTCCAACATGGGTGACACGGTGAGACAATGTCTCAAACAAAAACAACAAAAAACAAACTCTGCTCACCCCTACTGTCACCCCAGGTCTGTTCTTTGCTGATTGTAACTGAGCATGGAGCTGTGGCGTGGGAGGTAATTACCACCTCTCCACTGTAGGCCCACTAGTCATCACCCCATACACACTGAGGAGCAAGAAAGATCTGGTGCGTTTGCCCCAAGGATCCTTACAGAGGAGGATGAAGTGTGGGGTACTGGTTGGGTTCCGACTGGCCTCGCCCGGCTGGCTTGATTAAGGCTTCCTTCTCTGACAGAATCTCCAGGGTCATCTTCACTTTGCCCTAGGAACACCATGGGTAGGGGGGAGGCTGAGTTTGGATGCAGGAGCTGGGTAGTTTTAGGACCTCTTCCCGGGATCAAGAAAGGAAAAGGGATTTAACTAGGTCCCTAGATGTCTGTTAGAGCCAGAACATGTGGCATAGCAGTGCTAATCAATAGACACCTTCCCCAGCTCCTACCGACAAGCGCCATTTGCCACCATCGAGGACCTGGCAAGGCCACCAGCCAGTCACAGTTTTCTTCTTAAAGAGGGAGAAGTGCTCATATTGGAGGTTATAGGGCCACTTGGGGTTAGCGTCCATCATCCTGATGGAGCACTGCTTGGCGTGCCGAGCCGGGAGGGGCATGTCAGACAAATCCAGTTCCAGGACCCCTGGGCCCAGAAAAATGACATCAGCAAGAAGGACCTCCCTGTCCTGTGGTCACAAGCCCTATGTCAGGATCTCACCTAGGAAGTCGTCGGGGGAGAAGGTGTCATTGTCCCAGACCTGGATGATGAGTCGGGCTGGGAACTTCATTGACGTGGCATCCAGGCTCCATATGTAATCCTGGGGGAACGGTGGAAGGGCGTGTTACTGACCTGTCTCCTGGACGTTTTCCTTGCACCCCTTAGTGGCCCTCCTCCCAGCAGTGATGGACTATCAAGGAAGAGGGTTTCCACCTGAGGACATGTTTCTGATGTTCTGGGGCAGCTTTCGGGCCTCTGGAGGGTCTGGGGGAGGAGCTCCAGGAGCCTGAGTCTTTTCATGGGTGGTCTGTCGCCCCCGACACCCTAGGCCTGTTACCTTCTGGCTCTGGACGCACATGCGCTCTGTCGCCAGGTAGTCCATAGTAAAGATGAACCGCCAGTTGAAGTCGGCCTCCCCAGTTAGCGAGTAGTAGTGGATATCTGTCTTCTGCATGTCCTTCTCCAGCCCATATAACCACCTGGTGCCAGAGTCCTCTCACCTGCAGCTCATGTGCACTGTTCCCATCCCCCAGCTGGAGCTCCATGGGAAGGGCTGCCCAGCCAATGCCAGGCACAGGTGTAAGTGGAGAGGTGTTCCATTCAGGGCTGGGCTGTGCCAGCAGGATGACAGAACTGGGGAACCGAGGGGCCTTGCTGGAGCCTGACTCCTCTTCCTTACCCTTTGATGTAGATGTCACTCGTCTTCTCTCTACTTAAATTGTCATCCACCAGGTCCACATTGGCAGTCTTCCAGATGATGCAGCGTAGCTCATACCTGTGGCCACTGTGCTCTGAGGCTTTGCTGAGGAGGAGCTCCCCAGCTGCAGCCTCGGTGAGGGCAGAGAGGCCTGGGAGGCTCCCCTCTGAGTTCTTGCTCAGTGTGGGGAATTCAGGGGAAGAAAGCTCCCAGGAGAGCTTCCTCTCTTCCCAGTAGAGAAATGTATTACTGCAGCTCAGTACCTGAGGACAGCGGTGCCCTGTCCTGGGGGGAGGATGAACTGTGAAATGCAGCAGTTGGGAAGTGGGCTGTGACTCACCGTTTAGGCTTTCTGGGCTTGATGTTGACTTGGGGGCCAGGAGGCCCCAGCTTCTTGGGGAAGATGTCCACCCACATTTGCACCTTTCCCTAGAGCCGGATACATTGGCTGGTTGGGGGTTGCCAGCCTCTGTTCTCACCAGGCTGGCCTGAGGTTCTCTGTCCCAGGTTCTGAGGTCTGTTGAGGTTGTGTTCCCAACACCAAGGAGTGGGGTATAGAGATATCTGTGAGGCTAGAGGTGACCACCCACCAGCTTCCCCCTTTCTTTTGGCTGAGAGAGTAGTGCAGTGAGATTGGGACATGATGGCTTTGAGGCTGATGGTGGTACTGGGACTCCACTTACGACAGGTCTAGAGGGTGACTGCCACTCCCCAGGTCATGCTAGATGGCCTGTCTGGATGGGGCTCCAGATTGGGCTTGGGGCTTCATTTATCAAGCAGCTTGGTATTGCTTGATAGCCTCATGTATGAGGAAACTAGATACCAGTCCAGATTTTCAGGTCATTTTATGTTAGGAACTACAACCCAAGAGTACTAAGTTAGCTACACATACTGAAGAAAGAAGGAAAGGGATAAAAAGGAGCAGAAAGAGAAAAAGGGCAGAACTGCCACCATTTGAAGGACAGACAGATACGTTCTGCCTTTCAAACCATCTGACCTGATTATATTATTTTGAAGTTGACCCCATTTGAAAAAACAGGTTTAATGAGAATACTTTTTTATTTTATTTGTTTTTTGAGACAGAGTTTCCCTCTGTCACCCAGGCTGGAGTGCAATGGCACGATCTCAGCTCACTGCAACCTCTGCCTCTCAGGCTCAAGCAATTCTCATGTCTCAGTTTCCTAAGGAGCTGGGATTACAGGCACCCACCACCATGCCCAGCTAATTTTTGTATTTTTAGTAAAGACGTTTTTCCATGTTGGCTAGGCTGGTCTCAAACTCCTGGCCTCAAGTAATCTGCCTGCCTCGGCCTCCCACAGGCTGGGATTATAGGCATGAGCTACCACGTGTAGCCAGAGAATGGTTTTTAAAAAATTTTGCTCAGCAGAGGATTTTGTGTCTGGAATGTGGTGTCAGCTTGAGAGGTTTAGAGAATGCAATGAGCCATTATGGTGACTGCGGAGTAAATCATAATTAGGTGTCTTTGGGGATTTTTATTTCTGTTTGGGTTTCCTTGCCATGGGGAAGACACATCCTGTAATTAACAGCCAGAATCGGCATTGTCATGTCTGCACTGTCTGACCTGAGCGCCACCTTCCCACCCCTTGGGAGAGACTTAAGACCATGGAGACATTGACTGGTAGGGCTCCCTAGTGCCTCCCACAGCTGGTGCCTCTGATTCTTGTAGATGACCTTACCAGCTCTGAAATTCTCCATTCTAAGTGACATCACCAGAACTTCTTGCTTATTAATGTGCACAGCATGCTTTTCTTCTGTGCATGTACATTACCAAATGTTTGACCTGTCCTTTCCCTCTCATGGTAGGCCATGTCCTGGATGGATGGGCATCTCTATCTCCTGATCTAGCTCCTCCTATAGGTGGCAGGAGTGGCCTCTCCATCTCATACCTGGTCAATGCCTGGCTGGCTGTCACTGTACAGCGTGCGGGTCTCCACGTGCTCCGGTACCAGCCCCTGAGTGTGCAGGAGGTACAGTGCAAGGCGTTCCTTCTTGGGTCCCAAACCATGAAGAGTAGGGGTTTGGGGCTCTGGATTGGAGGGAGATGGAAGGAGGGGATTGCAAGGTCATTGGCCTTCCCATCTCCTAGGTAGGCCCTTATCCTCTGCACCGCAGCCTGGGTAGGAGTGACAGGGAAGTGGGTGGGCTGCCCTCTGGCTCCGGGGAGCTCTTTCCTTGTCCTCCCCTTTCTCCCCCAAGTCTGCAGCTCTTCCATTCTGGAGCCTCACAGTTTCCAGAGGCCTGTGTCTGCTTTCTGGTAGTGTTCTATGTTGCTCACCAAAGCTTTGCAGCTTGAATTTTTTCCCATTATAGAAAACAGCATCTTCCTCAGGACTAAACAGAGGTGGAGGCAGCCCTTTCCTCTTGGCATAGCGTTTTAGGAGGTAGCTTGGGGGCATCTGATCCCGCCATCTAAAGGGCCCTGACCTGTGGGGCAATTTGAGAGCCAGTGGTCTGGAGGTTTGGGTCCTGCCGCTATGAGCTGCAGGGTGACCACAGGTGACCACTTGGGTGGAGACTGGGCAGGTCTGGGCCCTGGTTCCTGCCCAGGATGCAGGCTTGGCCCAAGGGAGCTGTGAGCTCACTCTTCCACAACACCCCACTCCCCTCCCCTCCCCTAGACAGGCCCACTCTCACTGGCAGTAGGATTTGGAGAGCCCACAATGAGCTCCAAAGCCAGACAGGAGTCGGTTTTCGAGGTCGATGACTGTGGTTCCTATCTTATCATCGGGTGAAAACAGGTCGAAGTCATAGAGCTGGATCTCTAGGTCTTTTTCCAGGGGGATGTTGCAGGTGAGTTCAAACATCCTAGGGATGAGTGTTAGAGACTGCAGAGGCTGTGGGCCATGTCTCCATGCCCGCCTCCCTCACTGGCGTCTCAGCCCCGTGGGTCCCTTGTTTGTTCACGGAGATTGTGGAGAGCAGAGCATGGAGTAGGCTGCCTTCTGCCATTTGCCATCCGCTGGTTACAGTTGAAAATAACTTTGGACAGGCCTGGTGTTGGGCTCTGAGCTGAGTGAGAACCAGGGTAGAACCGGCCCACCCATGCATTTGTCTTCTATCTGTTGAGTACCAGGATATGTAAGACGCTGTGGTGGGAACTTGGAGGCTGGACAGGAGTGCCAGAGTTCTGTGCCTTCTGCAGTCGACTCCCAGGGTGGTGTGGGTGGGAGTGGAAAAGGGGTCTTGGGGTTTGGGGCAGCTCACGTGCCAAAGATGGGATCCAGAGTGTTGGGCTGGTACGTGTCCCGGTTGCCAAGCTCTGTCTTCCCCAGTTTCAGGATCACATAAGGGTCACACTGGGGTCAGATACAAGTGGGGGAAGGATAGAAACTGGGGAGGCCTCCAGGTTTGTCAGGGAGGGTGGGAGCGGGGTGGAAACAAGCCCGTTGCACACAAGGAGCCTGTGAGGAGTTGGCATTCTGGGTGTCAGCAGTTGGAGGGGGCCCCCAGAGACCATTGAGGGGGTAGTGTGGAGTACCTGTGTGGGGCAGGGACTGTTCTTTACCAGGCCATTGTAGTCCTGGGGCTGCAGGTTGATGGCTCGCACCACGTACACTCGCACCAAGCACGGCTGGGGGAAGTCCTCTCTCTCTGGCCAAACCAAGAACTGGAGCGGGGGCTTCGGGGCTTCTGGATTCTCAGGAAAGGGGTAGATGCGGAAAAGGCCCTGGCAAGGGGAGGGTGTTGGGGTCCCAGCCTGGCAGTGCTGGCCAGCTCTGTAAAGCCCTCCAGGAAGTGCCCCAGTCCATGTTAAGGAGTGAGAGGGCTGGGCTGAGGGTAGCAGGGATAGAAGGCCGTGAGGACTGTGGAGGCTGGTACAGCAAGGTGTCTGCAGAGACCACTACATTGAAGGGGGATGTTGGCAAAGGAACCGCAGACATTAGGTGAGTTCCCATTTATATCACTGTGGACTCATTTCAGCCCATCCCTTCAGGTTCGAGCTTGTTCTCTGTGGCTTTGTGGCCTTGGGAGGCCAGCATAGGCCAGAGTAGGGCAGGGAAGGGGATCTTTTCCCAAGTCCCTGTGGAGGTGAATTTCTGCTCCTCCACTCCCAGAACTTTCTCAAGCCCTGCTCCATCTTCACAATGAGCAGATAGAGCCAGGGCTTTTATTAGTCTTCTGGGGACACAAGGGGCACAAGGAGATGGGCAGCTGAGCTGGGACGGACACGCACCTTGAACTCCCCTACCACGGGGCTGTCCAACTTGGGCTGCTCCTGGTAGAGTTTGAAGGTCTGGCAGAAGTCCTGCAGGCCCTGGAAGGCTGGCACAGCCTCCAGCTCACAGTCATACACCTGCAGGGGTGTGTGGAACCCTGGCTGGCGGGGACCATTCCCGGGATTAGGAGATGGAGGGAGCACTAGCTCCCAGCTTGCTCCAAAACAACTGGCAGTCAGTGGCCCTGGGGCCAGCACAGTGTGCTTTAGACAGGGTGGCTGCTGGAGCTGTCTCTGGGAGACAGTGCTGGAACTCCCCCCATTTGGTGCTTCCCAGAGCAATCAAGGCTAACTCTGCTGGCCTCCTCCAGTGGAAGATTTTATTCCATCCCTCTTTCAGTGTTCTTTCCTCTTTCAAACCTTGAGGGTGTGGTAGTCTTTGTACTCGTACTTTGGGGACTTGTGCTCATCTGTGGCCCAGAACAGCTTGCTCCACCAGTCCACCTCGTGCTCATACTCATCCTGGCAGGGAGGAGGATCATTCTGGCCTTGGGCAGGGGCAGCACCCCCCACCTCTCCCTGCACTGACTAGGCTGCTCCTTATTCCTTGGGGCTGAGCCTTCATCACCTCTGCTTTACTGGACTTGAACCAGAACTTTTCGTAGAGGTAGCCTAGGAACTGAAAAAGGAGAGGGTGAGCAGGGGAAAGCCATAGCTCACTCATGGGCTCTGACTTCACGGAGGAGGGGGCGGGTCGAGGCTGGGGCTTCCCTGGTGCCCTTGCCCTTTCCTTTCACATAGACCTTTTAATTCAGGGGTCTTTAGACATGGGGTCTAGGGGGCAAGAAGGAGGGGACACGTAGTTCATCTTCATTGCCCGTAGCTACAGACTGGATTCTGGAAGGGGCTCAGAAATGCAGAACCTCAAGCCCCACCCTGACCTATTAAGAGTCTGTTTTTGGTGATGATGTCTGAAGGATTCCTGCACATTCAGGTTTGACAGGTGCTAGTTGGGAAACTTGAGAGCACATTGGAATCACCTGTGTGAGAGGGGTTGGAAAAAATTTTGATGCCTGGGCCCTACCTGAGCAATTGTGATGGAATAAATCAGTGGCCTAGGCCTCAGGAGTTTTAAAACTCTCAGGTGACTCTGGGTGCAGTGGCTCACACCTGTGATCCCAGCACACTGGGAGGCCAAGGTGGCAGGATCACTTGAGCTAAGGAGTTCGAGAGCAGCCTGGGCAATGTAGCAAGATCCCCGTCTGTATAAAAAAAAATTGTTATGGCTGGGCACCATGGCTCATGCCTGTAATCCCAGCACTTTGGGAGCCTGAGGCGGGAGGATCACAAGGTCAGGAGTTTGAGACCAGCCTGACCAACATGATGAAACCCCATCTCTAAAAAAAAAAAGAGAATTAAAAAAAATGGCTTTAGGTGGGGGAGCAGGATGGAAGTCTTTGCTTTGTCACCCAGGCTGAAGTGCAGTGGTGTGATCTTGGTTCACTGCAACCTCCATCTCTGGGGTTCAAGTGATTCTAATGCCTCAGCCTCTCAAGTAGCTGGAATTACAGTTAAGTGCCGGCACGCCCAGCTAAATTTTTTTGTATTTTTAGTAGAGATGGGGTTTCTTTTTTTTTTTTTTTTTGCCAATCAGTTTGAGCTTATGAGGTTGCTCAGGTTAGCCTTGAACTGATGACCTCGCCTTTGCGAGCGCCATGACCTCCGGCGGGAGCCACTTTGGACCCCTAGAGACGGGGTTTCACCATGTTGGCCAAGCTGGTCTCGAACTCCTGACCTCAGGTGATCTGCCCAGCTTGGCCTCCCAAAGTGCTGAGATTACAGGCATGAACCAATGCGCTGGGCCAGAATTTTTTTTTTTTTTTTTTTTTTTTTAAGATTTAAAGCCAGGTACAGTGGCTTTAATCTCTGTACTTCAGAAGGCCAAGACAGGTGGATCACCTTAGGTCAGGAGTTCAAGACCAGCCTGGCCAATATGATGAAACCCCATGTCTATTACAAATACAAAATATTAGCTGGGCATGGGGTCCTGTGCCTGTAATCCCAGCAACTCAGGAGGCTGAGGCAGGAGAATCGCTTGAACCCGCGAGGCGGAGGTTGCAGTGAGCTGAGATCGAGTCACTGCACTCCAGCCTGGGCAACAAGAGCAAAACTCCATCGCAAAAAAAAAAAAATAAAATAAAAGGAGAGATTTGAAAGTTAAAAAAAAATCCTCTCAGGTGATTCTAATGTGCAGTCAGGCTGAGACCTACAGAGACCCTGCAGGCTAAGGACCCTACAGTGCGGTAGGCCTCACAGTTGGGCACAGGTATCTGGACTCTGTTTAATGGACACCCTTCTTAGGCCCAAGGGTTATGCCCCGTCAGCAGTGTGGGAGGAGGTGGCCTTGCAGCCCTTACTCACGTCCTGGTGCTTCTCAGACAGTGCTGTGCGGAGAGAGTGCAGGGATGAGTCTCAGAACAGGGAGAGGGCTGAGGAGGAGGTGCCAACCCCACAGGGGAGCAGGGCCTGCCTCACTCCCACTGTGGGCTCACTTATGAGGCCTGGGGAAGGGCATGGGGGAAGGGCCGTACTTGGAAGCTTTGGGTGCATGTAGTCCTGAGCCCAGGGGTCACAGAAGTAGGGCTGGAGGAAGTCGATGTTGGCCTGGCCCGTCACGGACTGCTGGCCAAAGGCCCAGTTGTCCACCACCTTCACCACGAGGGGCAGTGTGTAAGCCTCCTCTGTTGGCATGAGCTGCAGCCCCGAGGAGACATGGGAAGCGTGAGACCCAGAGAAGAATAGGGCTGCCCACCCCCTGCCCCAAGGCCTCTTACCACTGTGAGGACTAGGACCGACTCAGGGAAGTTGGGGTTGGTCTGAAAGTCCCTGATGGGTTCTGTCTTCAGGGACTCTTCCCCGAATTCCACCAGGAGATGAGGGGAGCTCGCCTTCTTCATGTTCCGAAGGCCCCAGGCCAGGATCTGCCAGAACCAAGGAGGGCAGGAGAAGGGGCAGGCAGCACCTCTGTAATGGGGTCCTAGCCAGAGAATGGGGCTGAGGGGCAATAGTGGTACAGCAGGAGCCTGCTGGGCCAGGGAATGGGGCTGCAGAGAAGCCAGCGTCTTAGGGTGCACAAGTCCTCCCCATCCCGTGAGGGATTAGTGCTTGTCCTCTGGGACAAGATGCTGTCACCCCACCCATGAGGGAGATGCCCTCTGGCCACTGGCTGTATCCTCCACTGACCCATGAGGCCTGCAGGCATTGCCCCTCCTCACCCGCTGCTTTGTCTGGCCTCATCAGTTCTCAGGTGTAAGTTCTTGAGGCCGACTGCCTCTGAGGCCCGCAGAAGTAGGAAGTACCTGGATTTCTTAGGGCCCTATGCCATCTAGCTCATTGAGGATCCCATAGCCATTCAGTGACCTGGCACCCTGCCTGGAAATAGCTGCACCCTGACTCAGGAGGGCCGCCTCAGGGCCCAAAGCGGGAACCAGCCAAGTTGGCCTGATCCTGGGGAAGCCTCCAGTCCCCAGAAGCCTGACCACCTTGTACTCTTTGTCAAATTTGCAGCAGGGCACACAGGTTCTGAGTGAGGACCCCCCATGCTACTCTCAGAAGAGAGGTGAGAAACATCCTGGCATTTGGAGTCAGGGCTGGGCCTAAACGGCCCTGTCACTTAGTCCCTGTATCACTGTGCGTGGAATGCATTGTCTTTCGGAGCCTCCATTTCCTTCTCCGAAAAGTAGTTCCCACGGCTCAGGGGCAGCGTGAGTCTGAAATGTGATCACGCATGCTACAGCCCTTTGCCTACTCCCCACTGCGAGGTTTGCAGTTAAATGATATACAGTGTTACAGCAGAGCCTCTTCATTTCTCTCCTGTCTCCCTCCACCTCCCAGGTAGTCTTTCTTGGGGTGCGAGCTTTGGATCCCGTAGTCAGGGAGGACCAGCAAAGCTGCAGCGCACTCCAGACCCCTACCCCTACCTGCCCTGCCCACTGTTCCCATCCCATATCCCCAGCACCTCAATGGCCATCCTCTTTATCTTGGGCTGGATGTTCTTGGGGAGTGTGTATGCCCCGTTCTTCCAGGGAACACTTAAGATCGGCAGCTGCTTCTCTCTGAGCTTCTGGCAGAAGGGCAGGGAGCATGAGGTCCTCTGGGCTGGTCCTGCTGCCCTCACCTCCACCTCAAGCAGGTCCCTCAGAGGCCTCATCAAGAGCCCAGAGCCCTGCCGGTAGGGGCTGGGAGGGGGATTTAGGGGAGAGGTTGGGCAGGCCAGCATCACCAAGCCCACAGCGCTGGATCCTGGGCCCCTGGCATTTCCTGATGGGGTGGAGTTGGCCCCACTGGCTGGGGGTGGGTTGGGGAAGGGTGCTCAGCACCACACTTCCCAGCCAGGCCCTCTCTCCGAATACCTCAGTCTCAAGGATCAGCTCACAAGATGCCAAGATCTCGCCCTCTTCCTTCCCCAACTCCTTTACAAGGGGGTGCCACCTCATGGGGGGCAGGATCCGGTCCTGGAGATCCAGCCAGACGACCGGGGGCCACATGCTCCGTCCCCACAAGCTCTCCTTGCCCTGGAGGGGGGAAGTTCACAAAGCATGGAGGCCAAGCTGGCAGGGCCCAGCTCCACCTGGGCTTCTCAAAGCAGGGGCGATAGCTGACAGGTGAGTTTCCATGGTACTGTCAGCATGTCAGGCCTCATGGGAGCACTTTCCATACATTTTCTCCTAAAATCCCCTCTCCCACTCTTTGAGGTAGGTACTCTTCTTCCTGCTCTGCCCAGTCTGCCTTACCCAGGAGTCGTGCTGCCACAGCTCCAGCACCACAAGTGGTGGGCTCTCTTTGGTGTCCTGTGGGTTTTCGTACAGAAGGAGGTGCTGGAAGATGAGTGTCTGGGCCCATGTGGGGCCTGCAGAGCTTCTTAGGGTTTGGGTACACTGGCTATGATTCAGGAAGACCACTCGAATGAAGGGCCCTGGAGGGGTAGGGGAGGAGAACACACTGTCTTGAGCTGGGAAGAGGGCCTCTCACTGGACCCAATTGGAGCCCAGGAGGGTCAGGCAGAGTAGCCACTGAGGCCCAGAAGCCAGAGGCCACCTCAGAGTCAGCTGCAGAGCACCAGGCCAGGCATCATCGGGTCCCATCCATGAGTTCTGCCTGCCTCCCAGGGTTGAGACCTGGGCTTCACAGAGATGGAGGGCAAGGGCTCCTCTGGAAGAGTTCTAGGGACAAGGCCACCTGTGACTGCCTTATTTTTATTTTTTATTTTAAAGACAGTTTCGCTCTTTTGCCCAGGCTGGAGGGCAATGGCAAGATCTCGGTTCGCTGCAACCTCCAGCTTCCAGTTTCAAGCAATTCTGTCTCAGCCTCCTGAGTAGCTGGGATTCCAGGTGTCCACCACCTGGAATAAATATTTTTATTTATTCCCACCTAATAAAATTTTTGTATTTTTATTAGAGATGGGGTTTCACCAGGCCCGGAACCTGGTGTCCATTGTTGGCCAGGCTGGTCTTGAACTCCTGACCTCGTGATCCGCCTGTCTTGGCCTTCGAAGTGCTGCTATTATAGGCATGAACCACTGCCTGCCCCTGTGGCTGCCCTTTCATGGCAGCAGCAAGTGGCCTGGCATCAGGGAGCATCACATGGCCCTCTCGATGTGGGTGGTCAAGCCCAAGGGACACGGCTCCCAGCGGACATCCTTGGAGCCCTGCTACCTACTGTCTGCACTCCCTACAAACAACATTGACGACCAGACTGGAGCACGTGGCTTGTCTCCTGAAACTTTTAGTGGGGCATCCTCACAGGACTGAGGACGGGCCCTCCTCTGCACAGGCCCTCTTGGCCCCTCCACCTCTGTCCAAACACGAGTGGCACATGGTTCTCAAGCATGTCACCCTCTCTCTTACCCTCATGCCCTACCAGTACTAACAGCCAAGCTCCTTCCTCTTCCATGCCCAGCTAAGTGACCACCACCGGGATGGAGCCCTCTCAGCTCCCTCTTACTCCACAGCACTGGGTCACGCCCTAAGAGCAGCCCTGTGTCTTTTCCGCAGACCAGGCCATGAGCTGCTTGGGAGAAGGGTCTGTGTTTTTGTCACCCTTATCCCTGCCTCTGTATTTACACTGCTGAGCAGCTATGATGCCAGACCCAGGCATAAGGCTACCTGCCGCCTACCTTGGAATGTCAGGATCTGGTTGGACACCAGGTTCCGGGCCTGGTAGATATAGCAGAAGAGCTGATAGTAGTGGGGCTCTGGGGAAAGAGGAATCATGCCTGTCACCTGCCCCAGGACCCTAGAGACTCCCTCTGACTGCCCCCACCCCTTCCCCACTTCCTGCCCTAGGGTTCTGGCCTCCGGCCACTCAAGCAGACTCCCAAGTCAGTGCTTACTATTGAAGGTGCAGTAGATGAAGGGCATGTTGGGGGGCTGGGTGTCCTGCCTCAGGGGGTCCCTGAACTGTCTGTCCAGACGCAATGGCCATGTCTTGCTGTCCTCTTCCTTCCCAGTATATTTCACATCCATAGCCTGTACCCAGGACAGTCTCCCCTGAGGCTCTTGGGTGCTGCTGTCTCCTCTAGCCCAAGCCCAGCCATCCTCCCTCATACCACCACCCTCGCAAGCTGGAGGAGCAGGGGCCCTTCCTTTGCAGTCAGTGCCCCAGCCAGCTCAGGCCCCAGCTTTTCTGGAAAGTGGGGTTACAGGCAGGTGTTATCCAGGCTGTGAGGCTTTACCAAGGACCCCTCCAGGAGGAATATGGGCGCGATGCCCTTGTCCTTGTTAGGGGCCAGCCTGCGGCGCCAGCAGCGACGGCGGAACTTGCTCTGGGGCTGAGGGTTGAGGTGGAACGTGGAGCCGAAGGTGCCGTACTCCCAGCCCTCCTCCTCACCCTTGGCCAGGCCCTGTGGTTGGGAGGAGAGCAGGGTCATATATACTGCAGCAACCAAGGCGGCCCTCCCTTCAGTCCCAGCCAGGGCCCCTGTCCGTAGGCCCCTCACCAGCTTCAGGAAGGAGAGGGTCTCCTGCTCATGGCTCAGCTCCCCATGGTTCCGGAAGCGCACACGTGCCCAGCGCCGTCGGCGGCATGAGTGGTAGGTCTTCTCTACCGGGCTCCAGACCTGGCGCTGGCCCAAGGATGGGATCTCCATTCCATACTCCCAACCTGCAGTTGGAGAACCATGGCCTCTGAGTCCCCAGATGTCTGCAGGTTGGGAGGCCTGGACAGATCCGGGAGATGGGCCCTAGAGGGTTCACATCCAGGTCTCTCTGGCCCTGAGGTGTGGAAAGGAGGGTGTGGCTACACTGTGTCACCTGAGTGACCTGGGCCCAGCTGCCCATCTTACAAATGAGGCAGGCGAGGCTCAGAGAAGTCCTGTGACTCCCGCAAGGCCACACAGCCTGTAAGCTGCAAAGCTTGCATCTTGAGCCCAGGCCTTGAGATTTACAGCCCATCATCACTCCTGCCCTGGAGCTGCTGTGGGTGAATTCAGCCACCACATGACAGCCTTCTGTTCACCAGCATCTGCCATGCCTTGCTCTGGGCCAGGCTTCAGGATACACTGAGGGCCTATCCTGTCTCAAAACTGGGGCCCACGTGTAGGGAAATGCTGGAGACCCAGCTCTGGAGGCCAGGGACTCCAGGAATTCAGGCCTATCCCACTGAGGGCTTGGCTGCTCTGATCCCACCCGACTGGCTGCTGTGATTTTGAGGTCTTGGTCTTTCCTGATCCCAACCCTGACCAAACGACTGACCCTTACTGTCCACTGCGTGGTTCAGCTCCACTGCCCAGTCCTTCTTAAAGTGCCAGCCTTTGGGGCACTTCACGTTTTCCCGGGCCTCCATGGGCTGTCCATTCTGCAGGTAGACAGACAGGGTGAGCAAGGGGCACACGAACTGGGAGGAGGTCACCTTCCCTCTTCCCACACTTGTGTGCATGCCTGCTGTGGCCACAGCAGCCTCCCTCTCCAGGCCAGACTGTGCTTGCTACACCTCATTCCGGAAAGCTGAGCCATATGCACCAAGGACCTGCCTTTCCCTGCAGGAAACTACTCCTCCTCATTGAAAAGGGGAGACTAGCATGCTTTTGAGATCAGTTAAACCTACACTGCCCAATACAGTAGCCACCAGCCGCCTGGGGCTACTCTAACTTAAATGAGTTAAAATTCAAAGTTTAGTTCCTTTATCTCACTAATGCCCCATTTCAAGTGCTCAGTAGCCACATTTGCAGATACACAACATTTCCATCATCACAGAGAGTCCTACTGGACAGTGCTGGGTTAGCCTACTCCAAGCAGATTCTCTCCTTGGGGGTAAGCAACACCTTTGGAGGAGGCCTAGGAGGAACCATTGCCTCCCTTTGTTTTTTCTCAGTCTTATATAAGATATTTCTACAAACCCCTCACCTCATCAGTGCTGAGAAAGAGGGCCTGAGGAAACAAGACCCTCCCCATAATGGATTTCCAGCCACCCCTGCTATGGCATAGAGCTCTTTCCACTGGGACCCCCCAGCTTCCAAGGTGCCCGGCCTGGTGGCCTTGCTTGACCCCCAACCCCTGAGGCAGCTTCAGCCCTGCTCACCACGTCTGTGTTTGGGATGGTGGCAGGCCCCCAGGTGCCTCTGGCATCTCGGGCCTGGTTCTCATATACCTCTTCCAACACCTGGCTCTTGTTGATGTCTATGTCCAGGAGGAGTCTGGGGGTAGCAAGACCCCAAGTTCCCAGCACACCTTGCTGAGCAGCTCCTGGAGCTGTCCTCTGCTGGCCAGGCATTCCCATACCTGGCATCCCCACCTGGTCTGGGCAGGGCAGGGCCAGCAGGGCCTGGCGTGCAGGACAGGGTGGTGGGCAGGGCCCTCGACCTGGTGCGCCTTGGCTCTCTGGCACCAGGCTCAGGGGCTGGGTACCCATCTTTCTGGGCTGCTGCAGACTGGCCCTCCCAGGTGAAAAGTGTCTCCTCCAGTGGGGCCTGTCCCCTCCAGCCTTACCTCCTCTGAGGGTCCACTGTCCAGCTGTCCTGCCAGTGCCATCCCAGGGGTGGCTGGAAATCGGTCATCGGGAGGGTCTTGTTTCCCATGACATCCGAGAAGTTGGGGCAGTGATATAGCCCCTGCTGCCCCCACTGGTCTTTATGCTTGGCTTGATTCTCATACTAGGGGATGGAAGCTTGTTAGTGCTGCCGCCTCCTCCAGCACAATGTGCAGGGACATGGGCCTGCCCTGAGCCCCCTGACTCTGTGCTGCAGGGGCATCCTAAAAATGTGGTAGCCAGGCAAGAAAGGGCCACGTCCCCATTGCACAGGTGAAAGCACTGAGGCTCAGAGGTCAACCCTGCCCTGGTTACTCAGCTGGCAGAGTGGGGTGGACGCTGCATGTGTGGACAGAGACATCTATGTAGGGCTTGGAGGCGCAGAGGTGGAGAGGGGCTAGGGTGAGGGGGAGGGAACAGGGACTGTGTGCTCAGCAGGGGGAGTGTGGATGAAAAGGCCCAGAGGTGGCAATGGTGGTCAAGCGGTGTAGAAGGGCCAGGCTCCACAGGGTCTGCAGTGATGAGAGAGCGGGCAGCTGGCATCAAAGGCACCAGCCCAGTCCTCTGGTGTCTGCTGAGCCACACAGGCCCTGCTCCCAGCCCCCTACCCTGAACCCCTCTCTGCCTCTGTGCCTCCAAGACCTATGGAGCTGGTTAACCATATTATGATGTATCCATCTATATGTGCAACTTAGACACTGCAAACATATGTTTTAATTCAGTGGGTTAAAAAGCCTGACACTCAAACCTTATTTCCCCTCTGCTGTCCACCTGGCTTCCTGAGCTACCTCCTTCCCCGGGAAGCCAAGGACATCTCCCCTCCTCTGGCTCTAGAGCAGTCCCTGGCCACCACCTGCCTCCTCCCCAGGCTGATGGTTCTGCAGGCAGATGCCTCAGATCCTGTTCCTCTACCATGCTAGGCCTTCACCTCCTGGGACCCTGCTGGGCCTGTAGGGGTCCCAGGCTGCCCCGTTGGTGATGGATGAGGCCCCTGCAAGACAGAGCCTTGCTCACTTCACATGCTGTTGATGAACTGGGAGAAAGCTCTCAATAAACCTGCATTAGGGAGAGGGGGATCAGGTCCTAAAGGCCACTCAGTCACCCCCTTTGTCACCACACATGTATGGAGGATCAACAAGAGACCTGAGCTGGCAGTGTCCAAGATTGCTTTAGTCTCTTCCTCCTCTATTAGATTTGGTCAGGAATGTTTTTCTCCCTCTTCAGTGCAGGGCTGCTGCAGCTTCACCCTCCCTCCTCAGGCCAAATGCACTGCAGGGAGGCCATCTGTTCCCTGAAAGGCCACCCCACCCCACCCCCACATGCTGCCCTGGGCCCCTGCTCACCACTCACCATCTCGGCATACACTGCTGTGTCACCTTGGCGGAGCAACTGCAGGTCCTTGCTGTCTGTGACATTGCCAAGCCACATGCAGACCCGGAGGTGGGCTGGGAGCACATCCTTCTGTCCTTCACCCTCTGGGTACTGAGCCAGAGGCCAATCGGTCCTACAGGGGCACTAAACACCCTGAACACCATCCTGACCACCCCTTCAGTGGGCCACACCTGCCTTTTCCCCCGAGCCCTGGGAGTGGGGCCCTCACTGAGCTAAGTGCTGGAGCTATAAGTAAATGGCATGGAGTTCTGCCCTCCAGGTCATGGTGGCTCCACCCTGGGAGCCATGAGGCAGAGAGGCTGGGAGTGCCTCACAGAGGGAGTGGTGGGGACATTGATAATGGGACTGATGGACATTCCTTGTGTGCTTGTTATGGGCTGGCATTGTGTGCTGGCATTGTGCCAGTTGCCCAGTGTGGCTTATAGGCCAGAATCCTCACATACCACCATGAGGAGGGCATCGTAATTGCCAGGCCCATTCTATAGAGCAGCACCCCAAGGCCTGGGCATGGTCAGGAGTTGGCCTGGGGCCATGCAGAGCCAGGATTCTTGTTTCAGGGGCTGTTGCAGGATGTGAAGGACTTTGGAGGGCATGGAAGGAGCCTTGCACATTGACAGAGAGGCCAAAGGGCAGGTACACTTGGGGCTGGGGAAAGTCCAGAGTGTCCTTACTGTTGAGAGTATGGGCCAGAGAGAATGCATGTAGGAACAGGAGCCTGGGGCCAGGCCAGCTAGGTGGCACCTTCAAGAGGCAATGGGGAGTCACGGATTCTCTGAGGAGGGAGGGAGTGGCCCCCATATCCCCCCTTGGGAGGATTAGAAGCAGGGAGGTCACTGTCATGGCCGGCGGCGGGGGGAGGTCACAAGAGTGGTGGTCAGGGTGTTTAGGCTGGTGCCAAACCTTATAGACCATGACTGGAGATCACCCAGTCACAGTCCAGGGAAGAAATGATAAGGGGCTGGACCAAGTGGCGGCCATGAGGATGATGGGGGTGGTGGATTTGTTTCTTTTGTTTGTTTATTTGAGATAGAGTCTTGCTCTGTCGCCCAGGCTGGAGCACAGTGTTGCAATCTCAGCTCATTGCAACCTCTGCCTCCCAGGTTCAAGCAATTCTCCTGCCTCAGCCTCCCATTTAGCTTGGATTACAGGCATGTGCACCATGCCAGCCTAATTTTTTGTATTTTAGGAGAGATGAGGTTTCGCCATGTTGGCCAGGGTGGTCTTGAATTCCTGACCTCATGTGATCCACACACCTCAGTCTCCCAAAGTACTGGGATTACAGTTGTGAGCCACTGCACCCAATGAGGAGGTGGATTTGGGGAACATTTACAAGGTACATGGACTTGGCATCAGCCCACATACTGTCAGCTACAGACCCCTCTGTTCCTCTGGAGACTGTTTCAACCCGATTCCACGTGGTTAAGGGACCAGGGAGACAGGCCCCATGGGGACTGCCCTGTGAGTTCAGGACCTCCCCTGGGGGCATTTCTGGGGCCTGTCCTCCCCTGAGGACCCTGATTCCTACCTGTAGGAAAAGTGTCTGTATCTTCCCACAGAGCCTGCCGGAGTGCAGATCCCCTTCTGGGGAGAAGAGGACGGAGTGGGCGGGCACCTGTGCATAGGCCACTCGCTGCTCCTTGGCCACCAGCCAGATCATCACGTCAGGGAGGCCCATCTGGGGCTGCAGAGGTGGGAGATTATCAGGCCCTAGGTGGCTGGCTCTCATCCCTGCTCTGGGTCAGTGTGTGCAGCACCTACCTCGGGGAGCACAGCGTTGAGGCGATACAGCCAGTCCTCCCCTGTGGCCACCATGTCCCTGGGCTTGGCTTGCTTGGCCTTTTGGGCCAGTTCCTGCAGGAGGAGGCTGCGGAGCTGCCACCTCTTCCTGTCCAGACTGGTGGCTTTGGGCTGATTGGTCATGCAGGGCAGAGGGTGCCTGTGGCCGGGACAGAGTAGCAACGGCTGGATCTCTCTATTGTCTCACAGTGTCGTCATCCCTGCCCTGCCTTAGGTGAGTGTGTCCCTCCTGGTGTCAACATCCTGCCCTCATCCACTGCTGACCTGGCCCAGGAGCCCTTCCCATAGCTCCATAGGAAGCCTGCTTGCTGTGCATCTGGCCCTGAGTTCTCATCCAGCCCTCTCCCACCCTCCCAGCCCCTGCAGGAAGATGGGGCTGTGTGGGCTTGTCTGGAGGAAGGGGACCGGTTGGCTTGGTAGGCGCCTTGGGCATGGATGTGGGGCAGCAGGGACCATTCTGATGGGGCAGTCGAGGGGCCTGGATGGGAACAGAGAAGCAACTGTTGGGATTTCTCGCTGGGGAGAGGTCTGAGCAGTGCTCTTCCTTGAGGTGGTTGGGGGAGGTGTTCAGGACACTGCTTTGAGCCCCCAGGCCTGGATCTAGCTCAGCTCCAGGCCAGCGCTCCTGGAGTGTCCCCACTCCTACTTGCAGTCCTCCGCCAGCTCCCTCAGCAGTTTCTCCCACTGGTGGAGCAGAGCTGGGTCCTTTGGATTCCGAATGGATTTCAGGGTGTCCAGGTTGACTTTCTGCCCAGCAAGAGAGAAACAGTAAGAGAGCCTGCCTCAGCATGGAGCCCAGCTGGGCAGGCCACAGGGCTGATTGGCCCAAGATGTTTTCAGCCAGGACCTTGGGACCTTTGAGGGATAACCTGATGATATCAGTTCAAGGATATCCACAACCCTGACGCTAGAAACTCCCAACACCTTTCCTGCTACCCAACAGAAAAAACAAGTGGCAAGAAGCCAAGATGGGGTAAGAGTGGGAAGCAGTGCAGAGCCCTGACCTCCACATAGGTGTGAGAAAGTCATGCTGGAGATGCCAGCCCCAGGTGGCGTCCGAAACCTACACTCCCATCAGGCACTTGAGACTGTTCGTGATCTCACTCCTTCCAGCTTCTATGGCCTTATCTTCACGTCACCTCCCCTGCTGAACTTCAAAAACTAGTACATTGCCATGGCTTTACATGTTATTCCCTTCTACCCCACCCACCTTCTAATAAACTCTTATGCATTCTTCAAAACCCTGCTGATGTGTCATCGCTTTTGTGCACACCTCCTCTGACTATCCTCTCTTCCTCTCCTCTCCCCACCTTCTCTCTCTGACCCTATAGCTCTTGGTACCTGTGTCTCCATCATAGCCCTAGTTGTACTGCATGGTCACTGCCTGCATGTCCAACTTCCCTACACAGTGAGGACAGGGGCTGTGTTTAATCGTCTTTGTGTCTTCAGTGCCTAGCCCCCTGCTTCTGGCACGTTCTTCTCAACAGTGTGGAATGAATGCATGAATGAGCTGTGTGACCAGTTTCCTGCCACTGTAATGTAGTTTCCCAAGTCTCCCAGCCACACCGAACCCTTCCCTGCATAAGCTCCCACACCACTCACCAGGCGGTCCCGAGTGAAGTGGAGGAGGTTAAGGCAGTTCATTCGGAAGCTGATGTCCTCCCAGTTGGAGGTCACAGCCACGACAGGCTTGGTGTCATACCAGGGCACATAATGGTAAATGTTCCCTGAGATACAGAGACAAACGGAGAGAGGGGGTGTCTGAGGGATTCTGGGAGGTCTCTTCTCACTGTGTCCCCTCCAAGGACCTCCCTGGACCACTTCGCCCTCAAAGATGCGCTCTGCTAACAATGCTAACTGGACCCCTCCAGCTGGGAGGCTGGGCTGGGGCCCAAGTGAGGATATGTGCACTTTGACCCTTCATGGTCACACGGTCTTCCAGAGTCCCCAGTTTACAGTGGGAAAATCCAGGCTAGCAATGGGAAGCAGTTTCCCTGAGGTGGCACAGCCAGGCAGTCATAACGCAGGCGCCTAGCTCCAGAGCCCTGGGTTCTGAATCTCAGGTAAGATGCCAGGGGTAGGGGCACAGGGCAGGCCTCTGGGTGGGATGGGAGGAGGGGGAGCAAGTGTAGATAGACACCATTGATGGGTGCCACATACTGGGTTCCCTCACCATGTTCCTTATTGAAATAAGGGGGAAGTGAGACCAAATATAAAGGATTCTGAACCACTCTGCTGCTGAGTCGGCCTTTGAGGCAGAAATCCACAGAAAACAAACATTTAATACGCAGAAAATCTGTGAGGCAAGCTAAAGCCAAAGCTGAGTTTTGTTCTCCAAATTTCTGGCATGTTCTTGGAGAACTTGTGCTTTTCTTTGGCAACTATGAGACCAAGGGGCAGAAGAGAAAGCCTAGGGCTGGTCAGGTGGGCAGTCTAACAGGGACCCATGTGCTACAGGCTAGTTGTGTCCCCCCAGAAAGGTGTACTGAAGTCCCAAACCCCAGGACCTTAGAATGTGGCCTTATTTGGAGAGGGAGTCTTTGCAGATGTAATGAGTTAGGATGAGGTCATACTGGAGCAGGGAGGGCCCTTAATGGCTTGTGTCCTTATAAGAAGGGAGACACAGTGAGGATGACACCATGTGAGGAGGAGGGAGACATCATGTTGGGACGGAGGCAGAGACTGGCAGGACGCAGCTGCGAGCCCAGGAACACCAAGGACCTCAGCAACTGCCAGAAGCCAGGAGGGAGCTGTGGCCAGATTTTCCCTCAGAGTCCTGAGCAGGGATCAACACTGACCCTCTGACTTTAAACTTGTGGCCTCCAGACGCGTGAGAGAATTAGTTTCTGTTGTCTAAACCAGCTGGTTTGTAGAACTTTGTTACAATAGTAATACACCATGCAGAACAGGCACTCCAAGCCCTAAGCCCTTGGGATTGGGGGCTAAGAACTGACCCATCACACAGCAAGGGACAGTGGGGAAGCTTGGCTGTCTCCAGTGTGGCTCTCTGGGTGGAGGGGGAAGAAAATCTGCCCCAAAATTTGTAGCAAGTGGGGCCTCATGGACATTGGCATTCAGAGTTCATGTTATCTGTGTAGCCTGAAGAATGTCCAACAAAAAATTTAATTTAAAGTGGCCTCAAGTGGTTTGTGACCAGCCTGGGTAACATAGTGAGACCCTGTCTCTAATTAGCCAAGTATGGTGACTCACACCTGTAGTCCTAGCTGTGGTGGGCTTGAACCCAGGAGTCTGAGGCTACATTGAGCCATGATCATGCCACTGCACTGCAGCTTGGGTGACAGAGTGAAACCCTGTCTCGACCAATCAATAAAATAAATAAATAAAAATAAAGTGGTCCCTGCTTGGCAGTGCCCCAGGAAACTGAAAGAAGCAAGGGCCAATCCTCTCTGGAGCATGAAACTTTAGCCAGACCTCAGAGAATGCCCACAAAGTTCCAAGAAAGTGAGCAGCTAAGAACCAGTGTAAACACTCCTAACCCATCAACTCCACTCCTGGGTATACACCCAAGAAAAGGGTATATATAGCATCATTGAGACACATGGAGGAAAATGTTCATAGCAGCTCTCATTATAATAGCCAGAAGTTGGAAACAGCCAAAAATCTCTCAAAAGATCTCTGGGCTGGGCACGGTAGCTCACGCTTGTAATCCTAGCACTTTGGGAGGCTGAGGCGGGCGCATCATGAGGTCAGGAGTTCAAGACCAGCCTGGCCAATATGGTGAAACCCCATCTCTACTACAAATCCAAAAATTAGCCAGGCATGGTGGCACATGCCTGTAATCCCAGCTACTCAGGAGGCTGAGGCAGGAGAATTGCTTGAACCCAGGAGGCAGAGGTTGCAGTGAGCTGAGATAGCACCATTGTACTCCAGCCTGGGCAACAGAGTGAGACTCCATCTCCAAAAAAAAAAAAAAAAAAGAATTAGCCAGGCATGGTGTGGGTGCCTGTAATCCCAGCTACCTGGGAGGCTGAGGCAGGATAATCGCTCGAACCTGGGAGGCACAGGTTGCAGTGAGCCAAGACTGCACCACTGCACTCTAGCCTGGGCCAAAGTAAGACTCCTTCTAAAAAAGTAAATAAATATAAATAAATAAATAAAGTCTCAAAAATATCAGTAGCAGAAAGGATAAATACATTATGGTATGTTTACACAATAGAATAATACACAGCAGTCAGAGAATGAGCTATGACTATATTCTATGTCATCTAGATCTGTGAACACACTGCAGAAATAGAATGGTGAGCAAGAGAAACCAGATACAAAAGTCTCCCATCACACAGGCTGGAGTGCAGTGGCGCAATCTCAGCTCTCTGCAACCTCTACCTCCCCAGTTCAAGCAATTTTCCTTCCTCAGCCTTCTGAGTAGCTGGGATTACAGGCATGTGCTACCATGCCTGGCTAATTTTTGTATTTCTAGTAGAGATTGGGTTTCACCATGTTGGCCAGGCTGGTCTCGAACTCCTGACCTCAGGTGATCCACCCACCTCAGCCTCCCAAAGTGCTAGGAATACAGGCCTGAGCCACCACACCCAGCCACGATATGATTTTTTATATAAAGCTTTTTTTGTTTTGGTTTTTGGTTTTCTTTTTTAAAGAGGCAGAGCATGGTGGCTCCTGCTTGCTCCTGCCTGTAATCCCAGTGCTTTGGGAGGCTGAGGCCAGGAGTTCAAGGCTGTAGTGAACTATGGTCATGCCATGGAGATGAGGAGTGGCTGCCTTGGTGGGGTGTGGTGGGCATAGGGGCTTCTGGGGTGCTGCTGCTCTGTGATCTGAATGCCACTACATGGGCATGTTTGCTTTGTGATAATTCACTGAGCTTGACACTTTGGTTTGTTTACTTTTCCATAGGTATGTTCTACTTGAATTGAAAGTTTACTTAAGAACTTAAAAAATAGTGGGACAAAATTCCCAAAATCATGTAAAAAACAGTGTGTCAAAGATGGAAAATGTTAAGGAGAAAAGTGGGGAAGGGAAAAAGGGAGATGCTGAGTAATTTTAAATAGAATGGTCACCTAAGGACTTTCTACAGAGATCTAGAAGAAATAACCTAGAATGCAGCCCAGAGAGAGGACAGGATGAAAAATATGGAATAGATTTAAAAATATGAAGGACAGGCTGGGAGTGATGGCTCACACCTGTAATCCCAGCATTTTGGAAGGCCAAGGCTGGTGGATCACGAGGTCAGGAGATTGAGCCCATCCTGGCCAACATGGTGAAACCCTGTCTCTACTAAAACTACAAAAATGAGCTGGGCATGGTGGCATGTGCTTGTAATGCCAGCTATTCAGGAGGCTGTGGCAGGAGAACTGCTTGAACCTGGGAGTTGGAGGTTGCAGTGAGCTGAGCTCATGCCACTGCATTCCAGCCTGGTAACAGAGCCAGACTCCATCTCAAAAAAAAAAAAAAAATTGAAGGACAGAATGAGAAGTTCTGCAGAGGACAGAGTGAGTTCCAGAAGGAGATATAGAGGAGAAGAGGCAATTTTCAAAGGGAAAATATAATTTTCCAGAATTTTTGGAAGACACCAATTTCAGATCCTGGCTTTTGAGTGAAAGGCTGGAATGATAAATAAGCAGAGATGCATGCCTGGGGCTCTTAGTGCGAGGATACACAACAGCAATTTTCCTCTCCTACTGTTGGAGAACTTACAAAAGCCACAAGGAGAAGGAAAATAACTCAATTTTCAGCAAAACAAGGAGACAAATATAATCTGCAGACTAAAAATACATGTAAGGACTGCCAAAAGCAGCTGCGATAGCCACCGAAGCCGAGGGGTGAAGCACAGCAGCAGCAGCCACCTGGGGAACGTTACTAGCAAGACAGACAGCAGGAAGCATGCTGAGTAGATCTTAGAAAGTGCCAGCAAAAATACACTCCCTGAAGGAGCTCAGGACACACATGAGGCAACGTGAGCCCGCAAACCTCAGAAAACAAGTAGAAGAGAAAACAAAAACAACAGAGATGGGAAGGTAACACAAGTAGTCCACGGGAGGAGATTAGACCCTGCAGACAATTCCAGGGCATGGAAATAAGGACAGGAATAAGAAAAGTGACCAAAATGAAATGGAAAGAATGGGTCAAAAAAGGATCAGGGAGAAAATGACAGATATAGATAAAACCAAGGAGAATCACTCAACTATAAATGGAGCCTCTTATGTAGAAAATTAAACAATGGAGCAGAATAAGTATTTTAACATGTAATCTAAGAAAACACATGAGGAAAGGATGGTCTTTTTACCAAATGGTGCTTGAACAACTGGATATCCACATGTAAATGAATTCAAAATGAATCACACAGAAAAGTGTAAGAACTAAAACTGTAAAACAATTTTTTTGAGACAGGGTCTCACTCTGCTGCCCACCCTGGAGTGCAGTGGTGTGATCAAGGCTCACTATAACCTTGACCTCTGGGGCTCAAGTGATCCTCCTGCCTCAGCCTCCTCAGTAGCTGGATCTAAAGGTGTGTGCCACCATGCCCCACTAATTAAAAAAAAAAAACTTTCGTAGGCCCTCGCCATGTTGCCCAGGCTGGTCTCAAACTCCTGGGCTCAAGTGAGTCACCTCAGTCTCCCAAAGTGTTGGGACAGGCGTGAGCCACCACACCCAGCTAAAACTATAAAACTTAGAAGAAAAAATAGGAGAAAAATCTTCATGACCATGGGCTAACCAAAGAAAAAATAAATTGGATTTATATTTTATTAAAAAA